TCTTTTTTTTTCTCGATTTATTTCCTATTTCAATATGTATGTAATTTTAAATGATTCTTTTCTTGTTTTTCTACGTATAACGTTCATATGAGCAATGAATGAAATTGTTTTTGTAATTATAAAAAAACATCATGTCAAATTTGTGATATTATATTATTGTGATTGTAATTTTACTCTTGAAGAGTGAAAATAGAAAGAAAAAAAAAGTCTAATTATTGAAAACATATTCAGGTCAAAATCCAACATTCTTTTTTATTTTTAAAATTTGCTTGTTATCAGTGTTTTATATAAATTGTGTTTTGAGAATAACACAAGAAATTTGCTCAAGTCATCATGCCGACATTATTTGATATAGTTGATGCTGCTAATCGTCGTTTTGAAGAACTTTTTAATAGTAATAAACTTAATGAATTAGTTGAACTTTATACATCTAATGGTAAAATTTTACCACCGGATAAAAATAAATATGAAAGACGTGAACAAATAAAACAATTGTTGGGAAAGTGCAAAAAGTGCTGGTGTAAATAATTTATATCTTACAATAAAAACAGTTTTAGAAGCAGGAAATGATCGATTAGTTGAAACAAGTTCATATGAACATTCTTTAGATAAAGGAAATTATTAAGTTATATGGAAATATGTTAATGAACAAGGAAAAGATCAATGGCAATTAGATATTGATATATTTAATTAATTTTTTATTTTCCAATAAATTTTTTTTCTTCACATATCATTCTTTTACATCATTTTTGATTGTAAACAATTGTCATTGAACTTTATTTATTTAAATGTGTATATTGTTCTATCGTACAAATGGAAAATAAACATGAAAATTTATCATATATTTGAATAAGAGTTCAATTTAAAGACAATAATTAGTGTCTAACGATTTTATTCAAATTACATTAATTCACACATACAAGAAAAAATTTTCATTGTTTTTTTATTATCAATGATTCATGTTTCTTTTTTCTATCAACTAATTATTCTTAAAAATTAAATTACAATAAAACATTTTTTTTGATTTATTCCATAAATTAGATCTTCGATAAACATTTCTAATATATTATCGATATATTTTCAATATTGAAAGTTTTATTTTATTTTTATCCATTTTTTTTCTTCTTAATCTAAATAATTATATGAAGAATTATTATTAACAAAAACAAAATACTTCAAATTATTTTAGAATTATTATATTTCATAATACTTAAACAATTTCTTATAATAATTAAGACAAATATATTTCATTATTTTTGTTTATTTTTCATTAATTATTCTTCTTACTAAACAAATCACATAAACACATTGTCAAAATAAACAAACAAAACCAAAAAAAGTCGATTGAAACTTGTAACATTTTTTTTTCTTTCTTCTCTGTTAAAAATAAATAAAATAAAATAAATATAACAGAAGTGTAATGTGATGTTTTTAAATTTCAATATATATAAATAATAGACTATCCTACAAAAAAAATATATTGTTTATTATACTACAAATATCTAATCACATTTTTCATTTTTGTCGAGTTACTATGTAACACTCGAATGTACATAAATATTTTCTTAATTTTTTATTTAAAAAAAATATTATACAAAAACAAAATAAAATTACAATAATCATCATCGATCGCCCTCTTTTCCTATGTCTTCCTCTATGAATTGACTAAAACAATATCTTTTTAAACAAAGGTGACTTTGTTTTTACCAGAGATGGGCAAGTCAAGTCAAAAATGACTTAAGTCAAAGTCAAGTCAAGTCATTTTTGACTTGCTTGACTTGACTTGAAAGTTTTTTTTAATGACTTGCGACTTGACGTGACTTGACTTTGATTTTTCATTTTTTGACTTGACTTGACTTGTGACTTGACAAAAAAATACAAGTCAAGTCAGATATTCTTTGCAACTTCAATGCATATTAGATTCTTGTCAGGTTATATTTGACCTGTGCGTATAAAATAAGGTCCTAAACAGACTAGACGAATAAACAATGAATTGAGAATTCATTGTTTATTCGTCTAGTCTGTTTGATCTCACAAAAGAAACTATCTGACATCGACATTCGCAAGTATATAAGCAATTATACGGCTGAGTGTGCATCATACGTGACCTATTGTGTTAAACTGGTTAGATCAATTACAACTTGTATTACAACTGAATTGATTTAATTTTTTTTTTCAATAAATTAATACACAACTAAATTATGAAATTTAAAAAAAAATTCAAGTCAATGACTTGAGACTTGACTTGACTTGACTTGGTTAGAACACAGACTTGACTTGACTTGACTTGCAATGGCGTATCTCAAATTGATGACTTGACTTGACTCTCTTTGGCAAATGACTTGACTTGACTTGAGTGAAAAAATAGCTGACTTGCCCATCTCTGGTTTTTACTTGCACTTCTATTCAATTTATATCAGTTATGTATCGAATTTCATAAACTTCATCAAAAATTTCTTTTTTTTTTATTTTATAGATAAATAATAAATTAACAATTAAATAAGCTATGGCTTCAAATGATCCTTTGGTGGGAAAAACCTCCGAAGAGGTGAAACTCATGATACAATTTAATAAAACACGAATAAAAGCAGCAGAGAAGGAATTACTCGTTGAACAAGCAAAAATACAAGCTGAACAAGCAAAAATACAAGCTGCACATGCAATCGAAAGCGCAGCAGAAAAGGAATTACTTGTTCTAGAAGCAAAAAGAGTCTTAGTGCATGACAAACGAGCAAGAGACAACGAAGAGTACAATGATACAAAACGAATAAAAACAAAACACGAAGGAAGTCCTTGTTCATCTACTTCTCAATGTAGTTCATCAATGAGCCATCGTAATTTTTACAAGTCGTTTGTAAAAGATGGTATTAAGTCATTCAATATTGAAGATGTAATAAATAATTATGATGGTGTTAATGAAGAAATGATAGAATTTATTAAATCTGATTTGAGTAAATGCGAATCAAATAATATATACGAACGTGGCGTTCAAAACATATTTAATGATTTAATGCCTAAATTTTTGTCTCAATTTATTAATTCAACATCGTTGAAATATTTAAAGACATCTGACATACGATGTTTGCGTGGTTATAAACCTGATTGTGCTTTTACATTCAAAAATGTTAATATTAATCTGGAAAAACAACATGAAGTTTTAGAAGATTTTATCATTTGCCTTGGTGAATTCCAAAAACCAACATCGCTTATTCATAATACATCCAAAGCTGACAATTTGTTTCGTTATATGAATGCTACATTAGACGCACAACAACGTGAAAAAATTTATGGTTTTATAACAAATATTAACACAATACAATTTTTTTATGCTGAAAAGAAAAATAATCAAGATACTGTTTATTATGAAAGTCAAATCTTAGTGTTATGTAACTTACCTGAAATATCAGAATCATCATCAATAACAGGATCATCTGTTAGAGAAAAACAAACAATTGAAGAATTTAATTTTAATGATGAAACAGTTAAATTATTTATAAAATTTTTCATAATGGATCCGAATTTTTATCAATATACAAAATTAAATATTAATCCTAATGATTATTTACATGGTGATATATATTATATAACAATGAAATTAGGATTTGGTGCAACTTCAATCGTTTATTTATTACAAAATATTAAAAATAATAAAGATGCAGTATTAAAAATTTCTAAACATGATGATTATTCTGTTTATTTTCAAAATGAAGTTCAAATATTAAAAAAATTAAAAAAATTCAATATTTTAAATAAATTTGATTTATTTTTTGAAAATATTATTGATTCATCATCTTCAGGTAAGATTTGTTTATTAAAACAAATTTTTTTTTAATGTTTTCAATAATTGAAATTACTTATTAAAAAATGAGATTGATAAAATTTTGTTTGATTTTTAGAGAATATAAAAAAAAATATAAAGGAATAGAAGATTTAATCAAAAACTGATTTTATAGAAATTATTATTTTTTTTTTTTTATTTAGGTAAATTTATTATGTTTGAACAGCGTTTATATAAATTGACAGAATTCACATTACATCAATCAAAACAACTTATTGATGTTATTGAATATTTATATAAATGTAATATAATACATCGTGATATACGTCCAACAAACATAATGGTGGATCTTTTTGGAAAGCATATAAAATTAATTGATTTTGGTTTTGCAAAAGAATTTGAAACAAATGAAATAGAAAAAAACTTACTTATTGAAGGAACAATTTCCTATGGTCATTTGAAATTTCTGTATTCTTTTTTTGAAGAAGAACAAGATGATTCATTAACTGTTACACATTATAAATATGAACGAACATTTGATCTTTATTGTGCAATAAATGTCATTATTTGTATGACGCATGGAGAATTTGATAAAAAATTGCGTTCAGCTAAACGTGAATCAACTGATCAACATGGAGTATCAAAGGTATATAATTTGTGGTTGAAATTAAAAGAAAATAATGAAAATTATTCAGAATTATTAAAATTAATCGACAATTCAAATGGATCACCATATTTTAATATTATTAAAGATAATTTAGAAAAACTTGAAGAACTTAAATATTAAAATTATCTTTAAAATTCAATGTACATTCATATTAGTGATATAAACTTCTAAGTCATTTGTTATTCAATATATTTTTTTTCTTTATTTTTTTTGTTCTTGTTAATGTTAATTATGATGAAAAACTAAATGATAGAATAAAAAAAAGATGATTTATTACATTTATTTATTTGATCTAGTTTGAGATACAAAAATAGACATCATTATTGAAAATTTATCTGTGTAATATAATATTTTATTTTCAAAACATTTATATTGAATTGATGCAACAGTATCCGCCGATTTTTTTTTTCTTTTTAATCTTTCATAATTTTATTGAAACAAAATAACATCAATCAATAACATATATACCATTGTTATCTATGACATACTCCAATCTCTTAGGCAAATTCAGAATGTCATCTTCAAAGAATTTCTTGGACAAAGACTGCAAGAAACTTTCGAAGTCTGACTTTAAGTGTGTTTCATCGTCGAAGTGTTTCTGGAGCAGATGATTACGAAGCGAGGGGAATAAATGATAATCGGAGGGTGCTAAGTCTGGTGAAAACAGTGGATGGGGTAGGAGTTCCCAGTCCAGTTCTTCCAGCTTTTGACTGGTGACTTTTGATGTATGAGGTCTAGCGTTGTCGTGAAGCAGCCGAATTTATCGTCGTTCTGGACACTTGGATTGAATTGCCACCTTTAAATTTTAGAGTTGTGTGCAGTAAACCTTGGAGTCTACTGTGGTGTTAGGAGAAAGAAGTTCGTAGTAGATAAGACCTTAAAAATTCCACCAAATTGCTAAACTCGCACTGACACCCGCATTGAAGCAGAAAAATACACGAAAAAATAGCATTAGAAAGTTGAATAAACATCTATAAACTATAGAATAATTATTTCATTACACCATCTAATCTCCTCAACGATTTGTCTTTAATTGTAGCAAAAAAAATTTATCATTCTACAATAAGAATATTTAATGTAAGAAAAAATATAATGATGCAGAGTAAATAAATGAAATGTAAAGTTTTATTTAAACGAAAAAACATATAACAGAATATTTCGACATTGTAGAGATTTCAATAAATGGTCATTATCAGCTGAAAATGAATATAATTAATAGCATAACTATAACATCAGTAACAAATATAATACGATCTTAACATCATAAATATTAGCATTATCTTAACCTTAATAATCAAATAAATGAAATAAATATTAACATCAAATATCAAATACATATATTATATTATATGATTAAAAGTGTCAAGTTCATTTATTTATATTTGAATAAGAATATTATTTAAGATCGATAAACTAATGTTTTAAAGTATTTTGCTTATCTTTTATTTTTTCTCTTTCAATATAATGAACATTTGATTCGAATATAGCTACTTGCTTTTTTAATTTTCTCAATGAGAATATATTCAGAAGTCTCCACCTTAGTTTTCGACATTTCTAACGGAATGAGGCATTTTTGCATTTCATTTTATCATCACTGAATACATTCTATTAAAAGAAACAAAATATACAAGCACAACGATGCACCGTAAAAAGCTCAACAATTTACAAAGTAAAACTTAATTTATAGTTACACTTTTTCTTTTCAAAATCAATTTAATTCTGAGTGATCAAACTTCGATGCTGTGAACATCGGTTACACAGAATTTTTTACTTTTTTTCAAAACAAAAACTACAGTATTAAAATAAGCTTTACTTTGTAGATTGTAGAGCTTTTCATGCTGCATATTGTGCTTGGATATTTTGTTTTTTTTAATACAACCTATTAAGTGATGATAAAATGAAATGCAAAAATGCCCCATTATTTCTGCTTCACCCGTTACTTACGAGTAAAGTTGGGAAAATCTGAGCCGAGACCCTGTGGATAAGCCTCTTGAGGGAACTCAAGACCTTTTATTAGTGGATCTTAATAGTGTGTAGGAGGATTTAAAACCTGTTATTGGAAGAGGCTGAGCCTCCTTTAGTTAACTCATTAAATAACAAGATGAGATTTTCTCCTCGTCTCGTGAACATACCGAATTCGCAAATAACTTTTTTCTAAGATATGAATTTATAATTTTTCAAGGCGACTTATTCTATAAAAATTTTTTTCACAAATGTTATATTCTAATAAATCATTATCAAGCACTGAATCTTTTACTTCTATTTGATTCATCGAAAATCTTCAACATTTCGTTTCGAGAGTGTCGAAAAAATGAAGGTGAAGAGAAAAATAACTTATCATTTTGTAAGATAGTAAATATTCTTTCTTCTAAATTTTACTGTTTAGATCTTTGAAAGATTCTACTATTTTATTAATTACACGTTTTTTTCTTCTATTTTAGTTCATTGTTTTAATAGATAATCTACATATTAATCTTAATAACTTTGTTACCTTAACCGCATCTATCAGGTTCAAAGTTTGTCAAACTTTAAAGTAATTCAAGCAGCAGCATCAGTTAAGATTAGAAGATAAGTCAAAAGAATAAGTTCATATTTTACTAATCAATATAACAAATATATTACTAAGTGTAGACTGTCAGGATGGAACTCTATACAAAATATCGTACTAATCTCTTCTAATGGTTACTCTATAAGAACACATGAAAACATTTTTTCTATAAAAATAATTTTCAAGCTTACGAAGGAACTTTCTCAATTGTTTATTTTTAAGACAAGACTATGTCTATAATGTAGACTCTAATGAGTTATGAATATTCTTAAAAGAGTTCAAGTTCTTAGCTTATTGCTACAGAGATACTCCAGCAACACGCCATTTTTTTTTTTCGTTATGCCATCATCCCTCTGGAACACCCGGGAAACTGATTTTCGAATTGCGATTAGAAGTTTTGTACACAGACAGGCCTTAACAAGAATAATTTATTGTGAAAGTTTCAAGTCTTTTGATTTGCTTCTATCCTGAAAAAAGACTATCGAATCTGCCGGTATATATAGGCGATGTATAACAAAATAAAAGCTTTTACCATAGTCATTTCTAAGATCATGAACAATGAAAAGATATGCAACTTTCATAGGAAACGATTCTTAGTAAGATTTGTCTATAAGCAAAATTTCAAATCAATATTCGAAAATCATTTTTCCTAGTGTTCCTGAGGGAACCATTGGTTTGCTTTAAAAATACCGTATTGCTGCAGAGAAAACTTCTCTCATAAGATTAAAGAATTTTTTCAAGTTCATACAGTAGTTGCAAGACATCTCGCTATTGAGTAGCAAAGTACATGAACTTCAATCTTTTTGCCTAATATTTTGACTAGAAATAGAGCTCGATAAACCTTGATCACAAGCAGCCACCTGAGATCGATGTAGATTTTAATACAAAGAATTTACGATGAAAACACTGGTTTTCCACTATTTAAATGTGTTAACCTCCATTTTCTTATTAACGAATAAAGATTTGCATATCTATATTATGTCACCGATAGGATACTTCAATTCACTGTAATCTTGAGGCGCAGGAAAGCTTCCATTGTCTGGAAGGGTTCCAGTATGAATCTCTTCTTTATTTATGACTATGATTGTGAAGTTTTCAAGGCAAATGGTTAATATTAGCCAGAGATATCGGTCATTTTTCAATGATTCCCATCAACTCTCTTGTGAAGATTGCCCAAAAAATACTTCATAAATCAAGCAAACTAAAATTGTTTGATAGGAAAATTTTATTGGTGGATAAAGACAGTACTAATCTATCGAATAAGAAATCTAACGTCATGAAATTTGTGTGTCTATGTTGAATTATGCTCGTCTGAAGAAACAAATAAATGTGGAAACCTCGGATTTAAATCCGAGAGTTATGTGTACTTCAAAAAGTGAATGAGACAGATGAGTCACCCTAGAATGTGTGGACATCAAAATTGTCCTGGCAAACCCTTCCTGTAAACGCTGAATTTCTATTGGCTATTGCTCAGCCAATACGATTTGGAGGCAAATACAGCTCAGATTTGGACTCTTCACCTTGATTTACCACAAGAAACTCGTTTTTCCTATAACTTGATTTCTATTGGTCACTGCTCAACCAATGAGATTTCGAGGCGAATGGAACATAGATTCGAGTTCTCCATTCTAGAAAACCTCGAACTATCATCTCTGCGATGGGAAGATAAAGCTCTAATTGTGGATCACATAGAGCGTGGACAAAAACAGAACCGAATTCCGATTAATTATCTTTGCAATAGACGAGTTAGCTTTCTTGTTTCTTTATGTTTTATATACCATTTTGTAGCTCGTGAAATTCTCTATCGACTGGTATATAATAGTTGGGGTTTTATATGACTATGATAGGAAAAGTTTTTTATGAAAACAGAGGAGGGTCTATCTTCTCATACGGAAAAATGACTATTTTTGCAATAACTCAGCAATGGTTCGGCCAATCATTCTCATCTTCGAACTCGACCGAGATATTGTTAAGACTAGGGTGTGGGTGTGGGTGTGGGTGTGGGTGTGGATGTGGGGTGTGTGGGTGTGGGGTGTGGGTGTGGGTGTG